GTGGTGCGGGGGTAAGCGGGGGCGGAAAGAGCGGCGGGGTCGGAGGCGGAGGGGCGGCTGGAATGCTGATTAGTCGGCGTTCGTGCACCGTAACACTATAACCTACCACCGACTCGGGAAACCGGGCGGGAAGACTCCGGATAAGATGCAGGCAGAGTGAGAGTGAGTGAGTGAGAGAGAGAGAGAAGAGAGAGAGAGAGAGAGAGAGAATCAGGGGGAGGAGAAATGGAGAGAGAGAGAGAGAGAGAGAAAGCTGTAGGTGGCGAGAGGATACGACGGGATAAGGACGAGAAGGAGGAAGAGCAGTAGGAGGGGGACGAGCGAAGCGGAGGAGGGAAGGGAGAGAAGCCGGTGGCTTAATAGGGAGGAAATTGAGTGCTCGAGCAATATTGAGGAGGATTCGGGATTCGCCAGGATCGTATCCGTCCGTCCGCTTTTGGATTCCTCGGACGTGCATCGGCTTCCACGTAACGTGCCCCGCAGGGGTTCTCCACTCGCCGCGAATGCTTTTCGCGCCGTCACGCACGCCGAATCGGCCGCATCCACGGACAGGGGTATGTCGCGGAGGAGAGCGCGAATGCCGCGACCGGCCTCGACAATGCGGGACTGGTCGGTCGGTCGGTCGGCCGGCCGAAGATCCGCCTTTGTAACGAGCGATACCATTGGCGTGCACTCACCCCGATAATAGCGTTCAGCTCGGTCATGGTCACTTGTTTGGCCCTGTCGACCGCAGTGGCGACCTGCTGCTGATGCTCCTGCGAGAGAAACGGCAGGATCTGGGCGATGATGGCGTTCAACCTCTTCGCTATCTCCGTCTGAAAGGAAGAAAAAAGCAAGTTAGAGGAGTTGGGACAATTCGTTATTTCACCAGCTCCTCACTCCACACAGTGCTCACGGATCGCTCGAGACTGCGAGATTACGTGGTGAACCGTACAAAACAATCCCCGAGTGGTAACCGAGGGAGATGACTCGTTAGGTCCTCGGTGCGCGCGCGCGCGCTCGAATTTCTTTCCGCGTCCGTCGACGATCGCAACGGGGAAACGTCGAGGGGTTGTTCGATCCGACACCGCGACGTCGGGTCATATATAGCCCGCGCGCGTCCGGGCCCTCGGGCGGCTTGTTCCGGATCGTTAAGAATGGTAAGGGCTAGCTTAACGCGCGCCCTCGCCAAGGAAACGAGTGAAGATGCAGGTGCGGCATAACCGACTGAGGGTGTTTACGACGCCCTCCGGCTGGAAGAGACTGCCGGGGAATTAAATTAAATCCAAGCAAGATTGCCACAGTGGCGTAGGTATCGCTCTCGACGCTCGCTCGCTCGCGCGCGCCGCGCGCGCGCGCGCGCACCCCGTAATCTCACCGAGGCGAGACGATTCATTCCAGTACACTCCGATATACTCCGAGGGCTTCGCCGGTTTTTTCACTCTCTCTTTTTCTTCTGCCCCTCCCCCCTTCCTCTCGCCTCGTCTTTTTGCGGGATTTTAGCAGGGCGGATTTCTCCAACACGCGCGTTATTCCTCGTAATTCCGCTATCGGCCGGTACGATTCATTTCGACAGACGAGAGACGTCCACCAGCTATGCGAGGAGGAGCAGAAGGAGGAAGAGGAGGAGGAGGAGGAGGAGGAGGAGGAGGAGGAAGAGAAGGAGGAAGAGGATCGAATCGAACAAGCCGCGAGATGCTCCGCGACGCGCTCGGCGCTCGCTCGATTTCGCAGGGAACAGATAAGCCGGGGAGAAACATAATCATTTCGCGGATTATTTCGTATCGCGATGTAGATATCACCGAGATACCGTAGTTTCTCTATCTCTCTTCGCCACTCTATCTGTCAACTATCGTAAGTTCTCTCTCTCTCTCTCTCGTCTTTCCTTTTATAGCGGTTACTCGGAATCGTCGCTGTAAACGTCGTCGTAGATGACGCACGTACGACGAGCGAAATATCAATCGTAAAAGTACACCGACGTGCGCATTGTGACGTGACGATATTGGCTTACGAGCATTCGCGGTAGACGCGTTCGCGCACGCAAACGCACCTGCATCGCTGACGATGGCGCTTCTCCTACAGCCGAAGATTCGCTTACCGAGTGTCAAAGATACGCAATATAAGAAGGTTAAGACGATCCCTTTGGATCTATCTCGCGCGGCCGTTTCGCGTCCGGCCGAGTCAGCAAGTGGCGACGACGACGACGACGACGGCGACGAAAATTGCTGAGGATAAGCTTGAGAAAGAGACTAAGGAGGAGGGAGGAGGAGGAGGAGGATCTCGACAGACGATGCAGGTGTCGTGACAAAGTTCGCACGGAGATTAAGGCACGTTGACTTGGTATTTTCGGGCGAGAGAGAACGAAAAAGGAAGAGAGGTTGAACGAGTCACGGGGTGGTGAGATCGGGATGCTTTAAATGGGGAATATCCGGCGACATTTCCGTCGCCAGAGTCGAGGAGAAACAGCGGATTTATTCGATTATTGGAAATGATTCCGAAGTTCCAAGTCCATTCTCGGAAGCTGCGGTCGACGAGTATATCGAGCCGAGCGTATTTCACTTTAATGGGAGCTCGTAACTTGAATGGAGCGTCGGAACTTTGGCCGTGTATTTTTCCTCTTTCGCGATCCTCTTTCTCTCTCTCTCTCTCTCTCTCTCTCTCTCTCTCGAAAGAGAGAAATTCATGGTGATTCGCATCACATCGGCGAACTTTGCGTAGAATACGCTTGAAACGTCAGCCAGCCAGCCAGCCAGCCATTCCGTCCTCTCTCGTTGCTCGCGTCGCTGCCTACGTTATTACGAGAAATCTCGGCGCGAAGACGAGGGTGGTTTCCTCCTGGGCGAGAGGGTGGCGGTAGCGGTGGTAGGTAGATAGGTAGGTAGGTAGGTAACGCTTCGCGTTGGAAGGTGGATCCTGGTAGGATTATTATCGCTATCAAGAGTGGAAACGTTTCCTAGGGGCTTCCGACTTCCTCGAATCTCCGCCGACGCTTTCGCAGACGGCTTCTCGCGGACCGTAGGGCCTCTCCTCCTCCTCCCCCGTCCCTCTCTCGTTCTCCCTCTTTCTCTCCTCTCATACCTTTCCGTTTCCGTCCTTCTACCACCTTTCTCTCTCTCTCTCTCTCACTCGGCTCAATCTCCGTTTCTCCACACAGACACGTTGCGCCGCGTCGCAGCCGCGGCACGCTTATACACGTTCCTCTGTTTGTATGTTTTGTGGGTGGCTCTGTTCAGACAGTCGACGCTCGACGCGAGGTTATTATATCGTTAAGCCATTTAATTATCTCGGCAAACTACTCCCCGGAATATTCGCTCCGGCCTGCCTTAACGAGTGTACATGGTTACAGAGCGCGAGGGTGTGGGTGTACACTCTCTCTCCTCTTCCACTCGCCGTCTGCGTACCCTTCTCGTAGCCTTCTCCCCCTTCTCCGTCCTTGTTACCCTCCTCTTACTTCCGGAGTCTCGACTACTCTCCTCCCGCTCGTTGGTCTCTCGCCCGCGTACCACCACCATCCCCATCATCACCACCACCGGCACTACCACCGCCGCCGCCGCCACCACCACCACCACCTTCAACGTGATCCACGAACCGTTAAAACGGCGCTGAACAGGTCCACAATTTGTCTGGCGGCCTGGTCCAACTAACGAGGAAACTACGGGCGAGATACGCTTAAGATTTCCGCGAAACTTTTCGCCGGCGTTCGCCCGCTCGCTCGCTCGCTCGCTCGCTCCACTCCGGTTGAGCGTAAGTCTTTCCACTTGTTTCGCAGCCTTAGATTTACTCGGGCGAGGTCGAACGCGGTTACTCAAACTTGCCGGAGTTTACTCGGCAATTTGTATGCTTTGCTAATGGAAAGTTGCCTCTCTCCGTTGACTGTAACGAAGTGTATTTTCGCGTAACGGCGGCGACGGCTGGCGGCTGCTGACGACGAGCGGGGGTGGCCGGGCTGCGCGGCTGAAGGGCGCGGGGGGAGGAAATTCTCTCGTCGAGAGGGCGGCTGGAGAACGCGCGATCGTGACCGGAATTAAGCGGAGCGATTTTTCCAACGAATTATCGTTGCGTTGCTTTTTTTGCTCCCGCCTCTCCTCCCACGCTGTTTCCCTGTCTCCTCGTGGGAACGAAATTGTTTGATCAATTATGACGGCGGGTTGGCGGGTGCGGCGAGAGGACGAGCCGGCGGCCGAGAGGGTGCAGGTTGGGGGGGGTGGCGTTGGGCGCGAGGAGGGGCAGAGGGACACACGGGCGCGCCGTGCCGTGCTTTTAAATCCGCGCTCGCCGCGCGCGCGCGCGCGAATGCGATTTTATTTGCTTATGCATTTGTCCGCGCTGGAAACGTGAGTTCACGTTCGGCAAACAGACTCTCCTAACGAAGCTGCGGCAGCGTACACACCGCCGCGCTAAACCGATAGCCCGTAAAAATCATTTCCGAACTTCTATCGCGGGCTCTCTGTCTCTTTCTCTCTTTCCCTCCCCTCCGCGCCCCCCCCCCGCGTCCCCTCTTTCTATCGCGCGACGGTACAGCGACCGTGATAATATCGACGCGCTATTAAAGTTTATCCCGTCCCACCGTTTCGATTCCAATCTGCCGCGCTCTTAGCGATGATCGCCCCGATTCCCGCACGCCGCGTTTTCTCTCTCTCTCTCTCTCTCTTTTTTCAGGTCTCGCGGAATAATACCCGGGCTCGTTTTATCTGTTAATTACAACGGAAATACTTGAGGCACCGTTACGCGCACTCGAGCCCGTTAATTGCCTCGCCACTTACTTAATCTAATCGCGGAACTTATCGCGATCTCGCCAATGACGAGATCGCGCGTTGTTCGCCACGTCGGATCCGTCGGATCCGCGCGACGTGCGAACATGTGCGATTCGCACGAAAAGCGCGACGCTCCGGCGAGCAGCGGCGAGTGCGGCGATGATAGAGCGGCGATAGAGCCGATCCGTCGATAGCGATCGGAGGCCGCGCGCGTTGCGCAAACAATATTATTGACCGTGCGGCCTTTTTCTTCCTCTCTCGTTGCAGCAACAAAGGCCGGACCTGCCGAGACTCATACAACAGATGCACGCCCAACAATTGCCGCCGGGTGCGGCGATGGGACCGCATCCGGGCATACCTGGACTACCCGGACTGGGTCCCGGCGCCGGCATACCGGTGCCCACCTCGGCGTCCGCGGCTTTGCTCGGCTTGGGTCTCCCACCAGGGGCTGCCGCTACACCCGGAGGAACCGCCACACATCCCCTCTCGATGCTGACGAAACCGGACCTGCATCGCGGCCAGCCCGATGATCTCAAGTCCAACGGAGGTGAGTCACTTTTACGGATTGGCTAGAACATGCAGAAAGAAAAGAAAACGGCGCGGAAGGCAGGGAAGAGCGCGTTCCTTCGCTCCGTGCATTTTCCGTAGAATCTTCAAGAGTCGAGTCATCAGATCAGGTAAACGGATTCGATCGGACAAAGCGTGGCGGGAGAGAGAGAGAGAGAGAGAGAGAGAGAGAGAGAGAGAGAGAGAGAGACCTGGAGCTCTCTCTCTCTCTCTCTCTCTCTCTCTCGTTGGTATTTCTTGACAGTTTCTCGCTGGCTTCTTTTATTGCGAAATCAAACAGCGGGAACACTGCTTCTTTGAGACGCGCTAATAAAGAAGATTCGATTCGAAGAAAAAGACGCTCGCGCGATGTTCCCGTCTCGGCTGCTCAACGTCCAACGACCTTCTCTCTCTCTCTCTCTCTCTCTCTCTCTCTCTCTCTCTCTCTCTCTCCTTTTCCCGTCGCAAATATTTCGCGCGCCAATCTATCGTCGTCGGTCGTTTCGTTCGCGGAACCACCGTGCTTTCTTCGTCCGGACTGCCTCATGCTTCGCGTAACTCAGTTACCTCTTTCTCTCTCTCTCTCTCTCTCTCTCTCTCTCTCTCTCTCTCTCTCTCTCTCTCTCTCTCTCTCTCTCTCTCCCTATCTACCTGTCCGCTTATCGCTCGCTCGTCCCGGTGAGAATCATTACAGCCCGTTGTCGTAACCGATCCTCCTGAGACACGAGACGTTGTTTTGCCGCACGTAGCTCTCGGTGACTCTCGTAATCTCATCGATGATTCAGCGATACGCCGAGCAACGCGCAACGTAAACACGATTAATCCCCGCCGAGTGGCGGTCCGTCTCTCCGTCCGTCCGTCCGTCCGTCCGTTCATTCGTTCGCCCGGTGTAATAGATGAAAACACTCGCGAGAGCGTCTCGAGTGTCGCGGGGACGCGGGACCGCTCGCGGGCACGCGAGGCTGCTCTCGAAAGTTACTGAAATTAAGCGGCAACTTTTCGTGCTATTTTAAGCGGCCTGGAACGAACACGCCGGTGACGCAAACGACCGTGCTCGAGTCCGAGAGGAGAGAAGAAGCTCTCCTGAGAAACTCTCTCGATCTTGACCTCGAGAATCCTCTTGGGTCTTGGCTCGTCCTTTCCCTCTCCCCCTTTTCTCTCTCTCTCTCTCTCTCTCTCTCTCTCTCTCTCTGTCTCTCTAACTATCTATCTATCCATCTTCCTCGCGTCTCCCTTTCTCTTCCTTTCGTCCATCAGCGCCACCCTTACCTCCTCCTCGTCCTCCTTCTGCTTTCCCTCTTGTTTCCTCCGTCTTTCTCGTCGGCACGTTCCGCCGCGAGAGTGCAAGACCGCTCGCTCGTACTCGTGACAAAGGGGAGAGACTGCGAGGGCCGCCAGCACGTAGCGCTGACGAAGACGCGGTGCGCGTCCTCTAGACTCCTCTCTCTCTCTCTCTCTCCCTCTCTCTCTCTCTCTCTCTCTCTCTCTCTCTCTCTCTCCCTCCCCCCCTCTCCCTCTCTCGTCTCGTTTCCCTTTTCTCACCCTTATTCTCGCGCTTCCCAGCTCCGATGTCTCGCCCCGGCGTGTCTCGTTCTATCCACGACCGTCTCTCCAGAGAGCACTCAGAATCTCCTCTCGACACGAGTGTACTTCCACTACTTCTACCTCACCCCCTGTCCCTGCTCTCCCTCTGGTCGTCCTCTGCCGCCCTTACTGCTCGCTGTCTCTCCGTTCCCCGATGGCCACCGCGCTCTGACCCTCTACTCTCCCATCGACTCTCCCGCCTAACTATGTTACTCAAGCTGGTTGTATATACCCTCCGGTCAGGGAGTCGCCGTCCTCCTTCTCCTCCGGGAGGTTCTCTGCCTTCCCCCCCCCCCTTCTTCCGCAACCGCGTTGTTTTGCGTTTTCCAATCACTGTCGACCGAGCGAGGAGCACGTAATGAAACATCCTCTTCGATCTTCGCGCAATCGTCTCGACGGGATTCAGCTGAGCTGCCGGTTATCTGACGGATGATACCGTAGCGCGCATGGAATCGCTCGGCTCGTATTTTCCCGATGCAAAGTCGTTTCCGTTACAGCGTAATGTATCGCGAGTGCGCGCGCGGGGCTCTGTTCTCTCGCTAACTGTACCTCCGGCGTTTTATCGTTTCGCGTCCTTTTTACCATCGACAGTACGCTCATCGTACATCTACGTGTGTGTGTGTGTGTGTGTGTGTGTGTGTGTGTGTGTGTGTGCGTGTGTATGTGTGTGTGTGTGTGTGTGTGTGTGCGTGCGTTAGTATGCGTGTGTATGACTTAGCTCGTCGCCGAGTAAGTACGGCGGAGTGCGAAAAAGCGCGCGGTCGGAAAGAAGAGATCCACGGTCCACATTGTCAACGATCGTAGACACTCTTTTGAAACGAGATTCCGCCGTGGCGAGAGACGCAGTAACGGCCCACTATTTCTGTCGCGTGACAACTGAAACTTCTTCCCTTCTTTCCGGGACATTGCCCGGGGCGAATTGTTTCTACCACCACTACCACCACCACCACCATCACTACTACGGCAACGCCAACAGCAGCGCGACGCCGGCGAAGCTCCCCCGCCCATGCCCGTTATCGTTTTGCTCTCTCCTTCGTTTCTCGCGTTCCGTCCTAAAACGACTCCATCTTCGGACATATCCGCCGCAATATCTGCCACCGGCTGCGTGACGCCGCGCGCGCGCGCGCGCGCCTGCTTCCTTTCTGCTCGCTCGCACCCTCGCTTCCGCAGCGAGCTACGACTTTTATGGTCGATTAGGAAGGAATGTTGCTCGTGTCAATGTCGATAATATCCACGTTGATGTCCGCGCAATTTGCTAAATTTTCCTCGATATCTCTTTGCTCGTATCTCTCTCTCTCTCTCTCCCTCTCCCTCTCCCTCTCCCTCTCCCTCCCTCTCTCTCTCTTCCTCTCCTTTTTTTCCATTCCCGTCGCGTCTTCCCGTCTCTTTCCATCCGAGCGAAAGTAGCGTGGACTTTAATACGCGGGAAGCGGATCTCTTCTCTCGGCAATTCGAGCACTCGATACCGAGTCGTATTTTTATCCGATAATCTCGCGAGTAACGGACAGGGGTGAGCTGTTGTATCCTCGGTACTCTCGGCGAGCTCGCTCGGCTGACGAGGCTGAGGCGAGAGGACGAGCGCGAGCACGCGGGGGAGAGGGGGATCCTTAAAACGTCTCTTGGAAACACTCGACGACCTCTTCGCGCTTTAGTAGAAAATTATGCGCGCTCTTCCGCGTCCGTTTACGAGCGCCCGTCCGCCAGCTCGCCCGCGCGCGCGGATGTAGTCGAGCGAGGGTGGAGAAAAGAGTTTCCTGGCCAGAGAGAGGAAGGATAAAAGGGGGATGACGGGCATTAGCGAGGTCTATACCGAGACGAGGAGGAGGCAGAGGCGGAAGAAGAAGAAGAAGAAGAGGAGAGATACCACTCTCTCTTCCGAAACAACCCCGTTTCGCGCGCGTCTGTTCGATAACGACGCGGACGTGTATCCCAGGATTTTAACCCCTAAAACGCCGACCCTCAGCCTCCTCGTTCGCCAATATCCTCCGCCCCGGCTACGAGCAGTTACACCACCGGTACTCGGGGAAATACGAGGAAATTCCAGCGGCCCAATAAGGCTCTCTCCTGCGGACCATTCTCGTCTCCGCTATTTCGCGAAGCATGAAGCGAACGGCCAAACCGCTCGTTCGTCGCAACGTGGATGGCTGCCGTTACTCGAAGACGTCATTCCGAACGAGAACGGAGCGATGCTCTCGCGGGGGAGATTCACGCCGCGCGACCGCGACACACGACAGTGTGTACATGTGTACACACATACACACACACACACACACATGTATCTACAAATATACACATGCCCACATCCGGTATTTCCCAGTCGGGGGAATTTGTCCTCGCAACGGACGCTAATCGCGAAGAAGAACGCGAGGTCCGCCGGATCGGATATCGGAAGTTTGCCAATCGTCCGGCCGAGCGAGCTCTTGTTCGCTCGGAATTAAGGTTGAACGACGGTCTTATTTTGAGTCGAGCGTTGCCACCCAGGATATATCGCGCGGATATCGAAACTCCTCATCTCTCTCTTTCTCTCTCTCCCTCTCTCTCTCTCTCTCTCTCCCTCTCCCTCTCTTTCTCCCTCTCTCTCTCTCTCTCTCTCTCTCTCTCTCTCTCTCCCTCTCCCTCTCTTTCTCCCTCTCTCTCTCTCTCTCTCTCTCTCTCTCTCTCTCTCTCTCTCTCTCTCTCTCTCTCTCTCACTCTCTCCGTCTCGCTATCCTTCGCTGCGCCGCGCGGTAAAAATATTTTATTTCCATGGTGGTTAATGTCGCGAGAGACAGAGAGAAGAGGCAATTTATGGGTGGTTCGTGTGCGCGCGCGGAACATAAACGACTCGTGTAATTCTTATCGTAGGACGGCTAACGGGAGGAAAAAGATATCGTTAGGATATTTCCTGCGAGACCAAAGTGTACCAACCGAAGTATGAGGAGTCTGGTAGGAGGAAGAGGAGAGGAGGAGGTCGGGATGGAGGAGGAGGAGACGGCGAGGGGGGAAAAAGGAGACTGGGGAAATCGAGCGAGGGCAAACTATGAACTCGGCTTCTCGAGGACAAAGCTTTTCCTTCAGGATTTTCTCCGCCTTCTCCCCCGTTCCAGTCGGTCTTTCTTTTTCCCCGTTCTATTCCTCGTCCGCCGTCTCGGAAATCCTTGAGAAGTCTAGCTACTCCCGCGGTCCCTGTACTCTTTTCTCTCCTTTTTCCCCCCCCTCTCTCTCTCTCTCTCTCTCTCTCTCTCTCTCACTCTCTCTCTCTCTCTCTCTCTCTCTCTCTCTCTCTCTCTCTCTCTCTCTCTCTCTCTCTCTCTCTACCACCCTTTTATCTTTTCCTTGCCGTGGAAAAGATTCCGTCGACATGCCACCAAACTCCATTCGCTTCGACGCTGCAATAATAATGAAAAACATTCATGGCCTTCCGTTTGCTCGGCGGTAACAGCTAGATTTCCGTCGACCTCGTGTGCGCGATGTTTGAAGCACTGTCTGAAATCGGCATGACTATCGCGAATCGAATCAAGGTTTCTTCGCGCACAATATTATCCTGATAATTAGACGCCGATGCCGTTGCCATTATCGTTACGATGACGACGATTCTCACGCCAACTAGTAATAACTAGTAATAACGCGAGATTTTTACCGTTTGTTGCAGGTCTCAATCCAGCCGAGGAGAGGCATGTGAGTATCAATTAAGTGCACCTAGCGATTTCTCATTTAGCCTCGTCGCGAACGAGCGGGTGGGAACACACCGGCGTGTCTCACTCCCCGGGCGCGTAAAATTTCACCTCATAAAGGGGATTAGACCGCCGCTTACGCGCGATGTATTATTGGACGATAGCGGAGGTGGACGAGAGCCGGATCGAGAGAGGGAATTAGCGCGATAGAGACGGTAGAACGGCGGTGTGTAAAAGAGCGAGAGAGAGAGAGAGAGAGAGAAGGAGAAGCGTGCTGCGCGGGGATGTGCGGGCAGGACGGAAGGCGGAGATGGCGACGAAGGTGGAGGAAGCACGGAATGGACGTAAAAGCCTGAACACCCCCCGGAACACAGGGTCGTAAAAAGCTCGTCGTCAAAAGCACCCCCTTCCGCTTTCATCGACCACCCGGTGGCGTCTCTTTCTCTCTTCCTCCCTCTCCTCCTCCTCTCACTCTCTCTCTCTCTCTCTCTCTCTCTCTCTCTCTCCCTCTCTCTCTCTCTCTCTCTCTCTCTCTCTCTCTCTCTCTCTCTCTCTCTCTCTCTCTCTCTCTCTCTCTCTGCCTCTCTTCCTCTCTCTAGTTCCCAGTCTCTCTATTTCTCTGCTTTCCTCTCCTTCTTCGATAACATAAAGCGCCCGCTGGTTGTGGCGCGCGCGTTTATTAAAAGCGCTCCGGAGAGGAAAAAAGCCTCGAGAGCGCTCGAGGGCACCGCCGTTCGCGCTCTCTCCGCCTCCAGGTTTCGAGTGTCCTGCGAGATCGTCCTGCGATCGATCGCTCCGCGCGCAAAAGGCTCGCGCGACCAAGGAGAATCGATGCCGGGGCTTCGGAACTCGCTCCTTCCCCCTCGGTTCCCTTGGTCCTCTCTCCGATCTCTCTATGTCCTCTCTCTCTCTTCTCTCTCTCTCTCTCTCTCTCTCTCTCTCTCTCTCTCTTTCTCTCTCTTTTTTCCCTGGGATCGATGAATATCGATGAGCGCAGTTAGCTGGGCGTCGATTAAACGGTCCCGAGCGTCGTAACAGCGTTTCCGCATTAATCGACGATGCCGAAACGAATGGGCGATTAAGCCCGTGCGCGCGCTCGTTGAAAAATTCGCGAACCGCTTCGGGAATCGCGAAAAACAGTTGAATATTTGATTTTCGAGTATTTTCGCGCCCGGTCGGGCGACGATTTTTTGGTTATTGATCCTCTTCCGGCCGTGCTGAAATTTACTGAGAGAGATGGCGCGAGAGAGAGAGAGAGAGAGAGAGAGAGGGAGTAGGGGGGGGGAGGGGGCCAGCCGAGGCTGTAACTCGTTCGATTCGCCGATGGCGCCCGCGGCACGCTGCCAGCCCGATAATTAGCGCCCGTTTAATATGCACAATTATTACGGATTGATAATCGGGGCTGCGCGTCCATTACATCGGTATGGAGATAGATGGTAATAGGTTGCCATCGATATTAGCTCTCCTCTTTCGCCCGTACGTCCTCCGCCGCTCCCGTTACCCACCTTCCGCCGCCCCCTCTGGCTGTTCCCTGTGAATTCTCTCTTCCGTTTATCTCCCCCGTCTGCCCGTTCGCCGCTCCGGGTACCTCGCACAGTTTCAAACTGCGACCCTGAGGGCTGTGAAATTGAAATATGAATGCTAATGGGGTTACTCGCCCCGCGTCGTATAATATTACCGATTGTTGGCCAGGTAAGTCCTTTTGCTCCTCGCTGCGTACATATTTTCCGTCCGCCCTTTCCTCTCATCCTCGCATCGTTTCGTTCATCGCGCGGGAACCTTTTCAAAACAATCGGCAACTTCTCGCGTTCACGTCGCTATTCGTTTTCTCTTTTTTTTTTCCCCCTTTTTTCTGTTCCTTTTTATTTAACGCGCGTTAATGGCCCAAGTGGTGATAAATTTTAAAAAGCCCCCGCGCTGCGCGAGAACCCGTCTCTCTCCCCCCCCTCCTCTCACTCTCTCTCTCTCTCTCTCTCTCTCTCTCTCTGTCTGTCTGTCTGTCTGTCTCTCTATCTGACTCTCTCAGTCACTTACTCACTCATTTTCTCTCCTTTTCGTTCCCGCGAGGCTCGACCGGATCCTTTATCCTGTCAAGACGTTTCGCCTGTATATACCCCGTATTGATCGACAGTCCGATCTCGGCGAGGCGGTCTATCGTCTTCTTTTTTAACGGAAGGGAGTTCCGAGCCATCGAACAAATTGACGCCGTACTTACCGAGTTCCGAGGAGCGAAGAATTACGTTCCCATCGATCCGCTTTCTCGCGTCACTTTGAATTTATACCTTCCCCGCGAGCGCGCCCGCTCGCGCCCAGGCTGCACGATAAAACTTCTATTCCGCTCGGCGGCTCGTTACCCAACTGCATTTTCATGTTCCTCCTTGCCGCCTCACCCCGTCCGCGCCCGGCTCCCTCATCCTCGCGCCCTCTTCCTTCCGCGTGCAATCCGATCTAGTGATTGGATCGAACAGTGCTTGCGGAAAAGGGGCAAACCCACGTGAAAGACTGCTGTTGGAAGAGGGCAAAAAAGAAGCCGAGAGAGAGAGAGAGAGAGAGAGAGAAGCCGGGAGGAAGAGTAAAAGTGGAAAGAAGAAGACGAAGACGATGGAAAAGGGGAGCATATACACATGTACACGCGAAGGAGGGACGGGCGAGGAGCGGGGGGAGGAGAGTTCGCGCCTCAAATCGAAAACCGACGACAGCCGGAGAGAATGCGAGTCGTTATTATTCGCGCACCAGTAAAGCCCTCTCCTTTCATTCTTGGGAGCTTTACCTTCCGTTTCCTACCGTACCTCTTACCCTCCCCCTGCCCCCTTGCCTGTCGTCTCTCATCCTCGAAACGGCGCTCCACCGCTTTCAGGATTTCTCACGACCCGGGAAATATTTCTCTGTGCGTCGCGCGGAACGCCTCGGAGCTTTTCGAGGCTGCGGGGAAGAAGCCTCGGCGCGTCGCTGGAGGTCGATGTCTTTCTGGTCGTCGTCGTCGTCGTCGTTGTCGTCGTCGTCGTCGTCGTCGTCGTCGTCGTCGTCGCCGCGTTGTTATTGCACGCAAGTTCGAGAAAGAAGAAAAGCCCCGTCTGTGCGCGAGCTCCTCGTCACCTCTTTTCCCTCTTTGCGCCATCACCCCTCTTGACCGACGCGTCGACTCATAACGAATTCATAAAACACCGTGAGGCGGCGGCTGCATTCTCGACGTAAAAAGGGGGGACAGCGAGCCAGGGGACGGAGGAGAGGAAGAAGAGAGCGAGGGCAGAAAAAGCGACGTACGACTGTGGAATATTTATTTATCGTTCACTCTCTCTCTCTCTCTCTCTCTCTCTCTCTCTGTCCTTCGCACGCTCGCGCCGGATACACGCATGAAAGGGACACCGGGATTCCTCGTCATTACCCTCGCGACCCTCTCGTATTCCCGTCACGCGAGCGTCGGGCTTAATTGAATCGCGAGGTGCTTGCGCGCGTCTCGTTTCGGCCAGCTCGCGATAAAATTGTCGCCGACGGTCCCGATTCGCCACGAGACGACGGGGGTGGACGGATGGGGATGGATACTCGCGCGGCTGTCGTAACATTGACCCAAGTGGCCCCGTTTCTCAACGGCCTGCGCCGTGTGAAAATCCCGCGGGGGCGAGCGCCGGGGTATGGAAAATGTCGCCGCGGACGCGATATTCCGCCTTGCGTTACCGGTCGCGCGAAACCCGCGAAACGTGTTGTTATTTCGGGACGTGCCGCGCGCTGACGGCGGCGGCACGAGCACGTTTACCGAGCGTTAATCGTAATCAAATATCGCCCGGGGGAAAAAAATCGCAACCGTGCAATGCAGCAACGGTAGCATCATCCCTCGTAGCCCGCGGCCCCGTCGCTCGCAACTGCATCAGCGACGCTGATATCTGCGAAAACAGCAGGCAATTTTAAACGTTTAATCGAAATCGATACCGTTATTTACCGTTGTGTGTGTATAAGCTTTCGCGTCGGGCGAGAGATCGAGCGCGCGCGCGGTGGTCGCGATGTCGCGGCGGGTACAACGTCGCTTTTTCCGCGGCGAGAGAGAGAGAGTGAGAGAGAGAGAGAGAGAGAGAGAGAGAGAGAGAGAGAGAGAGAGAGAGAGGAGGGCTGCAAAATCGGCCGCGAATCGAGACGCCGCGATATCGATTGTTCGCCCTCTCCCTCCCCCCTGCCCTCCCCTTTCCCGGCCGCTCTCGCGCGTTCCTCCACCTCTCCCCTCTTCCACCTCTTTGCCTTTTTCCTTGGTTCAGCCATTTTCCGGCAGTTCGTTCTCCATTGGTCGCGGAGCTCGCGGTCGCGCTACTCTTTTTCCAACTTTTACGCCACCCCCGGCCTCCCGCACCCCCTCGCCGACCGCCTGGTCTCTTCCATCCTATCATCCCCTACCCGCCTTTTTAATCCCATCACAGAGTCGAGCGCGCACCAACGAGGCTGTCGCCGGAGGTCGGTAAATTAAATCTCGAATAAAGTGCAAATAAACGAGCAAGAGGGGGAGAGAGGGCGGTAGGGGCGTTACCGGGTGGTGGTCGAAAGTGCGGTACAAAAAAGCGACAGGGTGAGAGCGAAAAAAGCTAGCGGAGAGAAAAGAGGATGAGAGGGTAGAACGAGAGAGAGAGAGAGAGAGAGAGGGGGGGAGGTAGAAGAGGACGAGGGGACAGAACACGCAGGGTGAGAACGAGTGGGTGCGGGTTCAACAGGGGAAGGGAATGGGAGAGAGAGAAAGGGGGGGTGGGGGAGAGGAGAGAGATAAAAGAGCGAACTGACGCGCGAGAGTGTAATTTATTTTAATTAGAGTGGCTGCATTATGTAAGCGGGTGAAGCGCCGATGAAAGGGTTTGAAAGGGTCGAGAGATCCTGACACCGACGCCCCGACCAACATCCCCTTCCGCTAACACTCTGTCTCTGCTGTCTACCCCCGGGGAACAGACTAATTCGCTCTCGCTCAGGGCTGTGAGACTCGCGCGCGTATCGTTCTTGCGGAGATTCACGGCCGGAGACTCGCGGCGA